TTTGGCATTTTAATTACTATGAGTCTTGGCATGGGCCTGTTTGGATTCTTTTTAGTTGGGGCTCTCTGTGCTTTCTTGAACTTGAATGCCGTCTTCCTTCACCAAATTAGGGAAGTTTTCTGTCACTATTTCTTCAAATATATTCTCTAACCCTTGCTCATTTTCTTCTTCTTTGGGGTCTCCTGTGATGCGAATATTAGTACATTTCCAGTTTTCCCACAGTTCTCTTATGCTGTCTTCCTGTTTTTGAATTGTTTTTTTTTTTTTGGTTTTCTGATTGGTTGATTTTTTTCTACCCTGTCTTCTAATTCACTGATCCGGTCATCAGCTTATTCTACTCTGCTGTTTAGTCCTTCCACTGTGTTTTTTATTTCTGCTATGTCATTCTTTTTTTTTTTTTTTTTTTTTTTATCCTCACCCGAGGACATTTTTCCATTTTTTGTTCAGATAGAGTGGGAGGGAGAGAGGAAGAGAGAGAGAGGGAAACGTCGACGTGAAAGGGACACATCGAGTGGTTGCCACCCACAAGACCCAACCAGGGCTGGGGCCAAACTGCAACTGAGGTCCATGCCCTTAGCAGGAACCGAACCCGGGTCTCTCTGGACCACAGGCTGACACTCTACCGCTGAGCCAAACTGGCCAGGGCTGCTATGTCATTCTTCATTTCTTTCTTTTTTTTTTTTTTTTATCCTCACCCGAGGACATTTTTTCATTTTTTGTACAGATAGAGTGGGAGGGAGAGAGAGGAAGAGAGAGAGAGGGAAACATCGATGTGAAAGGGACACATCGAGTGGCCGCCACCCGCACGACCAACCAGGGCCGGGGACAAACTGCAACTGAGGTACATGCCCGTAGCGGGAACCGAACCCGGGTCTCTCTGGACCGCAGGCGGACGCTCTAACCGCCGAGCCAAACCGGCCAGGGCTCATTCTTCATTTATTTTTAGTGGTTTTTAATTTCCAGTTGTTTGATTTTCAGTGTTTTTATGTCTTTACTCATGGTGTTGAGATCCTTACTCATGCTGTTGAGCTTCCTCAAAATCATGGCTCTGAATTCTAGCTCTATTAATTTGCTTAACTGCATTTTATTTATCACATCTTTGGTAGAATTTCTTGTTCTTTCATTTGGGATTTGTTTCTTTGTTTCACCATTTTGGCTATCCCTAGGTTTTGGAGCCTGCCAAGTTTTCTCTGTGGGTGTTGGTGTTCTGCTGTTTGTGGCTCCCTCTACTGGGTTTTGGATGAGTGTGGGAGGACCCACATTAATTTCCTGGGTAGATTTGCAAGCCCAGGAATGGTTCAGTTATCCTCTAGATTTTTTCTTGGTGGCTATTTGTAGTGGTTACTTGTAGAGCCTTGGGTTCTCAGTTGAATGAAAAACTCCCTCAACTGTTCAGCATAAGGGGATTTCCTGAGAGTGGGGCAGAAGCTGGTTGTTAATGAGCCCCAATTTGAATTTCAGTGGCCCACCTGGGTGGGGTTGAATCTCTGCAAGAGGGGCTTCTACCTCTCCCCAGAGCCCTGGGAATGAGTAAAAGAGCCATTGTCCTGCATGGCCACAACTCAGCAAAAGCTCTGAGTGCCCTTCAAATCCCAAGTGTCCCCATAGAGTTCCAGTCTCGTCTGCCTTTTCTCTGCTGGAGCCCAAGGTGAGTGGCTGTGGCTATTTTGGCATCTGTCCCGGCTCTCTGCACTGTGGAGCCACTTGGGAGTTTAACCCTGAGGGCGCTGCTCACAGCTAAGACCACTGCTGTCCGAGGGCTCCCAGTCCCCCTCTGACGCCTCCACAATCCTACCAGGATGGATCCCGTGTCCCTGGTTATATGGTCCTCGCAAGCTGCTTTTCTGTTGCTTTTCCCCGACAATTTGTGTTTATTTTAGTTGTAATTCCAGTTTGGTCCTGGGAGATGTTCTATTAGCTTCCATTCACTCCGCCGCCATTTTGGAATCCTCTGAACCCAGTGTTTTCAAGTGTTATCATTAGAGAGGATGAGACGAAGAAAATAAGTTTTTCTAAAGAATTCTAAATTCTAAATTTATGTAGGATTTTTGTATCATAATGAATTTAAAATATTGAGATATAATACACATTACTTAAATTCACCATTTTAAAGTGTACAATTCAGGTTTTTAGTGTATTCACTATGTTGTACAACAATTACCACTATCTAATTTCAGAACATTTATATCACCCCCAAAAAGAAAACTCGTACCTGTTAGCAGGCAGCCCCAATTCCCCCTTCCTGCCTTCTGCACCCATGAGTTTATGTTCTAAGGGTTTGCTTTGCCTATTTTGTACATTTTATATAAATGGAATGCAGTATGTGCCTTTTTTGTATCAGGCACCTTTCACTTAGTATAGTATTTTCAAGGTTCATTCATGTTGTGATGTTTCAGTACTTTATTCCTTTTTGTGGTTGAATAATATTTCATAATTTATTTATCCATTGATCAGTTGATGGACATTGCGTTCTTTTCACTTTTTGGCTATTGTGAGCAGTACTCCTATGAACTTTTGTGTACAAGTTTTTGTTCAAGTCTAGTAATTATCTTAGAATGTATCTTTGTGTTGGGTGTGCTGGGTCAATATTCTCAGATACGCAGTTTGTTTTTTCAAAATGTACTTTAAAATCTTTTTGTATTCCAGTAAAGTTTTCTTGAATTATAGTCACTAGTGTTTGTTTTGTTCCCTTGCTTTGATCTTCTTATTCAGGGACTCCTGTTATGTACTTTGTTATTCTTGGACTATTTTCAGTATTTTGTTACTTTCTTTTGAATCTTTTCATCTTTCTTCATTTTTTTAAATTAAAATTTTTTCTTCTTTTTAATTTTCTATGTCTTTTAAGGCATTTTTTTAGTGATATTTATTTACTCTTCTGTTCCCTCTAATTTAGTCTTCATTACAGAAATGATTTTTTATTTTATTTCTAATTCTTTCTGATCCTTGTCACTTTATTTCTGAGTTTTTCTAATTCTGATTCCTATTCTTTCATCTCTTATACCATTTTGTTAATGTGTTTTAGTTCATTTGAAATAGTAAGTTATAGTTTATATTTGCTTTGTGGGCACATTTTTCCGCTATGCTTTCTATTCTGCTCCTTTCTCTCTCTCTCTCTCTCTCTCTCTCTCTCTTTTTCACATGAACTTTGTGTGGGATTTGACTGCACTATTCAGTTGCTTATTTTTATGGAAGATTAGTTTATCTGATCTTTGAGAATGGGTTAAGGTGCAGGAAAGCTTTCGTGACATCAAAGAATCCTGTCTTGTGTGTTTTTTTGTGAGTGTTAAAAACTATGGTGGCTCATTTTCTGAGATTTCCTGGCCTTGTTCCCTCTACAGCTTTGTCTGGGCCATCTCTTTGTGTTTATTTCCTCTATCCTGCTCAACTAAAAAAATATGTTTTTATTTTTTAAAAATGTTTTAATTTATTTTTTAGAGAGAGGAAGAGAGAGAGAGAGAGAGACATCGCTGTAAGAGAGAAATGTCTATTGGCTGCCTCCAGCAACTTCAGCATGTGCCCTGACCGGGAATCGAACTGGGACCTCTCAGTCCATGGGATGACACTCTATCCACTGAGCCACACCCGCTGGAAAAGCCCAAGCTTTTCGTACAAGGCCAGTTAATACATACAATTGAACCATAGGTCATTTTACCTGAGGTTTATTATCATTATTATTATTATTATTTTTAATCCTTACCCAAGGAAATTTTTGCATTTATCTTCAGATAGAACAGGAGGGATAGAGGGAGGAAGAGAGAGAAACATCGACGTGAGAGAGACACATTGAGTGGTTGCCACCCACACAACCACAACCAGGGCCAGGGATAAACTGCAACCGAGGTACGTGCCCTTAGTGGGAACCGAACCTGGACTCTGGTCTGCAGGCCGAGGCTCTAACAGCTGAACAAAACCAGCCAGGGCAGGTTTGTTATTCTCTCTTCAATTAAGAAACTCTCGATTCTTATAGACTACATGACTTGCCTGAAGGCAGTCAGCTACTAAGTGGGGGACACCAGGTCTTTTTTTAAAAATTTTTATTGAACACTTCACGAATTTGTGTGTCATCCTTGCGCAGGGGCCATGCTAATCTTCTCTGTATCGTTCCAATTTTAGTATATGTGCTGCTGAAGCGAGCACCCAAGGTCTTAATTGAGCTCTTCTGATACTGAGGGACAGAACAACTTAGACTTATTTGGGAGGGTGTTCTAGATATCCCTGTATATCTACAATTTCACTAAATGATCCTTTTATTACATCTTTGCCCCAGACTAAATCACCTCCTGTATCACTTTCAGGGGTGGGGAACCTTTTTTTCTGGCAAGGGCCATTTGGGTATTTATAACATCATACAAAAGCAAGCCATACAAAATTATCAACTTAAAAATTAGCCTGCGATATTTGGTCAGGCTACGTTGGTGAGACTTGTGAGGTTAGCTGGTGTTGATTTCTTAGACCTTATCCGGCCTGAGGGCTAGATGTTCCCCACCCCTGAGACCCTTCCTTTGTTAGGGATCATTATATTTTCTTAGAGGGTTCTGTGTTCAGTAATAGAAATTGATAGTGACTGAGCACTGTATATGTGCTATATGTATTATTTAAATCTCAAACATGTAAGTGAGGTTGATATAGTTTTCTGCTGCTGATGGTTGAGGAAATGGGCTCAGAGAACTTAAGTGATTTGCCCACCCACTGACACATACTTGAAAGATACTTATTGGAATCCTGACTCAGATCTCTCTGAGTCTAAACCTCATTGTTTATCTTAGCATAGTGTACTTCTGCTGGGGAGACACTTGTGGGATCTTGATATTTGTGTATGTGTGGACTTTTTGCTTCTAATATTTTTAAAAGAAATAAAACATATGACTTGAAAAAATATAAGTATATGTTCATTAGACAATAATTTAAAAATACAAATAAGCCGAATAACAAAAGGAAAACCACCCATAGTCTCAGATTCACATATATAACCACTGTTGTATTGTTTACTATTTTAACAGACTTCAGTTCTTCTAACCTGTAAGCCACAGACATTCTGGACAATTTAAATCATCAATAACGAAGTATATTGTTATGAAACAGTGGGATATTTTGAAAGAATTGGAAGACTTATCATGAGTTTAAACACTTCAAGTAATGTCACTGGTGATACCCAAAGGTAAGCCTCCAGTCTTTTTCTTTAGTTGAAGATTGCTTTTGGTTCCAAGGGGCAGGGAGGGACAAGTCAGTGGTTGGAAGGGTTGATTGTCAGAATTCTCATGGTATGGTGAGGGAAGAGGGAATTTCATGGGATTGGAGGAGCAGGAATGATGTCTCTGGAAACTGTGCTCCATTGTTAATCAGCTCACAAAAGTCAGAGTGTCTGTACTTTCTTTTGTCCCTAGATCCTTGCTTATTCTTTTTCACCTTTCTAAATCTTTTCTTCTTATACTTTTGTTTATTCGCATTTCTGTGTGGTGATTACTTTGGCTGGCTCTCTGTGACTCTAATTCTTCTTTCCTTATTGCCGCAACTCAAGTTGACAACTTCTGTTTGTTTAAGCACCCTTTTAGTTTTAGCTCCTGCTGTTAACTGCTTGGAGTTTACATGGCAAGAATTGCTACTGCTCATCTTTTTTTGTACTATTGATATCTGCTTTTGGGTGAGGTTACCTACCTTTGGTTTATTCACCTCTGATGGGAATAGTATAAAAACCTGAGTCTATAATTTGAAACTGAGCCATTTTGCAGAGTGTAACCCAAAGCGTGGGTACAAAGAAATAAGTACAAAAATTGAAAGTAAGTGTTTAGAAACGTTTATAATAATGTAACAGAGTAATTTTCTATTTGTTGAATCTAGTAATAAAATACTTGGGGTTATATTTTATGATTTTAAAATTTCTTTTTTAGTTATCCATTTAAAATATATTTCACAAAATCATCATGGGGTAGGTGGTGGGAATAGTTTGAATAGTTCTTGCTCTTATTTAGTTTGAGAAGAGCTGATCTTGACGGCCTTTCAGCAAGGATGAGTGGGTGGGGCCAGTACCATGACTAATATGTACTTCACCTGTAAGTAGGGTTTGCTACATAAACATTTTCTACCTATCTTTAGGGGCTACCTTACATCCTTTCTGGAGCAGCATAGGGAATAAATGAATAAAATATAAACTTTTTACTTTGCTAAAATTTCATCCCAAAGAGGACTTTTTTCCCCTTCATTGTTTAATCAAATACTTTTATTTATTTATTTATTTATTTTTATCCTCACCCAAGGACATTTTTCCATTTTTTTTTTGTTCAGGTAGAGTGGGAGGGAGAGAGAGAAACAGAGAGAGAGAGAGAAACATCAATGTGAAAGGAACACATCGAGCGGCTGCCACCCGCACAACCGACCAGGGCCGGGGACAAACTGCAGCTGAGGTACGCGCCCTTAGCGGGAACCGAACCCGGGTCTCTCAGGACCGCAGGCCGACGCTCTAACCGCTGAACCAAACCGGCCAGGGCTCAAATACTTTTAATTAAATTAACAGTAAGCAGTGAAAGTGCAATCACATGAAAAGCCCCATATTTTACATGTTTAAATTGTTTTTCATTGTCTTTACTTGTAAGTAATTGAAGAAGGACCCACTTTGAATCTTCTTTCTAGTGGTGGAATAAGGTACATACTGCTCTGGAGTGCCACGCACATTGAGTTTATGGGTTGTCCAATTTAATTTACGAGCAGTAGGTGGTATTGTTGTTGGGAGAATATCAATCATACAGTGAAACCAGTGGTACATGCAAGGGCACCACACTTTCATCCACATCCCAGTATGTGCTTTTACCTTTCATTTCAGTAGTATATATAACCCATTGGTGACGGCCAAAAAAGTGCTTGCTGTCTTCATCATATTTGTTTCCATATTTGTCTTTCCCCTTTAATGTACTAACCCTCACATCATTTGCCCTGAAGAGAATTGTTAGATAGCCTCGGAGGCTGCTATGGCTGTTGACCTGCTACAGTCCCTCAAAGAGAACTTTTTCTTTTATCAAATGTTAGGGTCAGGACTGAGGTCTCATCAGCTTGTTCTTTACCACCATGGGTAAGGAATATGGTTCAAAAACTGCTGAATAGAGAATCTTCAAGGTTCCTTCTTACTCTGATATTCTGTTTTATTTTATTTTATTTTTTTATTATTATTATTTTTTTATCCTCACCCGAGGACATTTTTTTTTTCATATTTTGTTCAGGTAGAGTGGGAGGGAGGAAGAGAGAGAGAGAGAATCATCGACGTGAAAGGGACACATCAAGTGGTTGCCACCCTCACGACCCAACCAGGGCCGGGGACAAGCTGCAGCCGAGATACGTGCCCTTAGCGGGAACTGAACCCGGGTCTCTCTCTACTGCAGGCTGATTCTCTAACCACTGAGTCAAACTGGCCAGGGCTCATATTCTGTTTTATATATGCATATACATATATATGTATATTTTAATGCAAATAATACATGCATTTTTAGAAAAATTAAAAAATACAAATGGAAAAACAAACTACTTATAATCCTATTACTTAGAGTTAACTACTACTAATATTTTGGTATATACGTGTCCATATCTTCTAACGAATATATATATATGTGTATATATATATATATATATTTGAAAAATTAGAATAATGTTTCACATTATTTAATATCCTGCCTTTTAATTTTGGGGGGAATATCTTACTACATCAGTATACATCTGCCATAATTTAAAAAAAATTTTCATTGATTTTTTTTAGAGAAAGAGGAAGGGAGAGAGAGATAGAAATATCCATGAGAGAGAGAAGCATTTAACATCGGTCAGCTGCCTCCTGCGCACCCCCCACTGGGGATCGAGCATGCAACTCAGGCACATGCCCTGACCAGGAATCGAACCAGTGACCTCATGGTGCACAGGTCAACACTCAACCACTGAGCCACATCAACTGGCAGTGTGCTCTAGTTTTTAATGGCTAAATTACTCTTCAGAATTCTAGAATCTGGGCAAATGAAGTAATTTAAACTCTGCTATTTACCACTAATCTACTTTCTGTTTCTATAGATTTGTCTTTGATGAAAAATTCATGTAAATGGAACCATACAATATGAGGTCTTTTGTGTCTGGCTTTCTTCATTCACTAGGCATGTTCTTCAGGTTTATCATGTTGTAGCATTTATCAATTACTTTTTTTATTTTGAATGTTGAATAGTATTCCATTGTATGGATATACAGTGTTTGGTTACCTATTTACCAGTTGATGGACATTTGGGTTGTTTCCACTTTTTGACTGTTATGAATAATGCTGTTAGAAACATTTGTGTACCAGTCTTTGTGTGGACATATGATATCATCTCTTTTGGGTAGATTCTTAGGAATAGCATTGCTTCATTGTATAAGAAATTCATGTTGTTTTTTTTTTAGGTTTTTTTAATTTTGGTACGTGCCCCTAGTGGAACAGAACCTTGGGACTCTGGTCCGCAGGCTGACGCTCCAACTGCTGAACCAAACTGGCCAGGGCATAGGTTTTTTTCTTTATTGATTTTTTAATTTTTTCTTTATTTTATCTTTTTAAACTTATCTTTATTGTTGAATGTATTACGGATGTTACTCATTTTTCCCCCATTGTCCCCCCTCCTCCTCTGTCTTGCCCCCCTCCTGCCTTTTCCCACAGTGTTGTCTGTGTCCATTAGTTATGCACATTTACATATAAGTTCTTTGTTTTATTTCTTCCCACTCCCCAACCCTCCTTCCTTTTGAGGTTTGTCAGTTTAGCAACCAATTTGTACTTATTAATCCCTTCACCTCTTCACCCATTCCCCCAACCCCCTCCCATATGGCAACCAAAAAAATGTTCTCTGTATCTATGAGATTGTTTGTAGATTCAATTGTTGATAGATATGTATTCATTGCCATTTTGTTTGTTTATATTTTTTATTTTTTTCTTCAAGAAGACCCTTCAACATTTCATATAATAACGGTTTGGTGGTGATGAACTCCTTTAACTTTTCCTTGTCTGGGAAACTCTATATGGCCATTGATTCTAAATGACAGCTTTGCAAGATAGAGTAATCTTGGTTGTAGGTTCTTGCTTTTCCTCACTCTGAATATTTCTTGCCACTCCCTTCTGGCCTGCAAAATTTCTTTTAAGAAATCAACTGACAGCCTTATGGGAATTCCCTTGTAGGTAATTAACTGCTTTTCTCTTGCTGCTTTTAAGATTTTGTCTTTGTCTTGAACCTTTTGCATTTTGATGATGATGTGTCTTAGTGTGGGCCTCTTGGGGTTCATCTTGTTTGGGACTCTCTGTGCTTCCTGGATTTGTATGTCTGTTTCCTTTACCAAGTTAGGGAAGTTTTCTGCCATTATTGTTTCAAATAGGTTTTCAATTTCTTGTTCTCGCTCTTCTCCTTCTGGCACCCCTGTGATGTGAATGTTGGCACGCTTGAAGTTGTCCCAGAGGCTCCTTTCACTATCCTCATTTTTTTGGATTCTTTTGTCTGTTTGCTGTTTTGATTGGGTATTTTTTGCTTCCTTAGCAAATCGATGGTTTGCTTCTTGGCTTTACCTACTTTACTATTGAATCTATGTAAATTATTCTTTATTTCAGTTAGTGCCTCCTTCATTTCTGACTGGTCTTTTTTTATGCTCTTGAGGCCCTCACTAAGTTCGCTGAGGTTCTCACTAAATTCATTGAGCATCCTTATAAGCAGTGTTTTGAACTCAGCATCTGTTAGGTTGCTTATCTCCATTTTGCTTAGTTCTTTTCTTGGGGTTTTGTTTTGTTTTTTCATTAGAGACCTGTTTCTGTGTATCCTCATTTGGCTGCCTCCCTGTTTATTTCTGTGTATTACTTAATGAGAGGTATGGGGCTAGCTGAGACCAGATGCTGCTTGTTTAAAAGAATTTAGAAAAACCTGAAGCAGGATTTAAGACAGGCCAATCCTATGGTTAAGCAACTGACAACAGCTTGGGTGGGCCTGAAAATTGGGTGGGGCAAGGCCTCAGGGAATCACCAGGGTGGGGCAAACAGTGTGAGCCAGGTTGCTGGAGTCCCGATATGGCCGCTGTCTGCCACCCCAGGGAAGGGCTCACCAAAGAACAAAGGCCTCTGACAGCACATCTGTCCAGGAGGAAGCCCCCTCTCCAGCCCACGCTCCAGTGCCAAACAGCTCAGTTCTTTCCTGTATGTCTCTGGTGCCCCTCAAGCTGCTTACCCTCTGAGCTTAGAGGTTGCAAGTTTGAGTACGTCTGTGCGCCAGCCCTTTAAGAGGAGCTGCTTGGGGCTCCAGCAGCTTCAGCTTCCCTGAGCCTCAGTTCCCGCTGGTTTTTCCAGCAGAAGTTATGGGGATTTTCTTCCTGGCACTGGAACCCTGAGTGGGGTGCTTGGTGTGGGATGGGGACCCCTCGGTCTTCAGGGAGGACCTTCCCAGCGGAGATGTCCCTCCTGATTTGTATCCGCCACATGTGGGTGTGGGATCAGCCTGTTGCACCTCCGCCCCTCCTACTGTAAGGTATCGGGGGCGCCGCCGAATAAAACAGAGAAGAGACTGGAGAGCCAATCAGCCGAATAAACAGGGATCAGGCTTTATTGGGTACACTCCGGGCGGGTTCACAGACTCTGGGGGTCAAGTCCTAGAAGCCGCGCTCAATGTAGGGGCTTGTGTCTTTTATATCTGCCTGTTGTAGCTGGAATTTGTCCCTTAGGGTTTGGCCCTGCGGGGGCTATGCATGGAGCCTCTGGAATATTAATCGATAAGAGCAAGATGGGAGTTAATCTACAAGCTCGAGGCAGGCCATTCAGGGTGGGAGGCAAGGCTGAGCAAGGAGACAATGGTCGAGCACTTTGCCTAGCGCCAGTCCCCAGGCTATCGGACATTCCCGACTCTGTGATAATGACAAAGGGGCACAGGTGTCTTTCTGGCTACTTCGAGCTGGACAGGGGCGGCATTAGGGGAGGGGGCCCATGTCGGCATGATCCGGGCCTGAGGATCTGGTGAGAGGTTGATAATGGCTTAGCATCATGATCTCGTGCACCGTCCGACTGGTGAGGGCCTTCAGTCGGTTTTGTAGTAGGGAGGAGAGTAGTCGCAGGAGACAGGGTCTGAAGGCTAGGGCTAGAAAAAGGAGAGTTAGGGGACCCTTAAGCGGCAAAACCCAGTGTGCCCAGTTGGAATCGAACCAGGTGCTCCAAGATTGATCTCGCCTTTCCCGAATGCATTGTGCTCTTTTTTTTAAGTTATTGGCAGCATTTCGGACAAGGCCTGACTGGTTAAGATAGAAGCAGCATTGCTCTTCTAGGAAAACACATACATCTCCCTTTTCTGCAGTGAGGAGATCTAGGCCCCTTCGATTTTGAAGGGTGACTGCTGCTAAGGAGTCTAGTTGATCTTGGATGCTGAGAAGGGTGGAGGCTATTTCTTCTAAGGAATTTTGTAGGTCTTCAGATAGGATGTGGAAATATGATAGAGAGGTTCCTAACCCATCTGCCCTGAGTCCCAAAGCTCCTGTAATGCTTAGGGCAGTGAGGAGGGGTACCAGCTGTATAGCCCGTTTGTGTCTTCTTGTATTAATCAGGGTGACGTCGGGAACAGGCAGGGAGGCGTCCTGGGGGACTATATTGATGTTGGGGGTGAGATATACCAAGGTGCAGGTGCCGGTCCAGTTAGTGGGGAGACACATATAGGTGGTGGACCCACACATAAAGAAGGCACCGGCCTCTGTAAGGCAGGCCGAGAAGTGTAAGGAGAAGAGGTGTATTAAGGGTTGGGTCCGTCTTACTGTTTCTGCCTCCCAGACGGTGAGAGTAGAGGATAAGGCTGCTCCAATAAGCAGAGAGAGGCCAGCAGTGCGCTGCTGGGTGCATTGGTATCTCTTTTTGGAGCGTAACCAGGGATGTATATTGTCTGTGGGGTATGAGCAATTATGGCCAGTAGCAGACACCTGAGGAGCCCCCGAAAAACGGACCTTGTTTGCGAAAAGCCCGTTGGCTTCAGTGGAGATGGCATAATCCACCCGGTTATTCTGGTGGTCCCAGGGGTGAGAGATGGTTATGGTGGTGTTGCAATGCTGGGAAGCTAGGCTTCCGAGGGACACATTGCCCCCTTGAGCCGAGAAGCATAAGGGAGCCTGGGTTAGGAGGGGGGTGTTTATGGTTACTGGGTCATGGACGGGCGGAGTGGAGCCCTGAAATTGGGTGAGTCGTTGAATATAGGACTGGAAGAGTTTATTCGCCCGGTTGGCAGCAGAGGTGGGGTATCCACCAATTAAGGTGTCCGCTCTTTCAAAGAAGGTGGCTCCTTTCTGTACCTTATAGGGCAGAGTAACCTGGAGCTTTGAGGCCTCATATTCAGGTATGGGTATGGCAGAGTAGGCTGAGGAGGACAGGGATAGGCAGACCCAACAGTCAGGCACAAATGTGGAGTTGGCCTTATAGAGGAGGCATTGGGTCAAATTCAGGGTACGGAACAGATGGGAGGATTCCAGAAGCGAAGGAGAGAAGGCGGCAAGAATGAGTGGGCAACCAGGGGCGAGGCCCAGAGTCAGAAAGATGTATAGCAGAATCATAATGACTTATCGTGGTTGATCCAATTAGGGCGTCTTGTGTATTCTGATTTTCGTCAGCCCTAATGGAGTGCAGGTGAAGCGAGGCTCCAGGACTGGTTGCTCTTCTGGAATCGGGGCTTTCTTTATCCTAGAGAGATGGATCCAGGCGGAGATCCCCAACACCTTAACTGCAGAGGGAGTAGTCAGAACAACGGTGTACGGTCCCTCCCATTTAGGGTGTAGGGGTCGGGGAGAGAGGGTCCTGATTAGTACCCGGTCTCCGGGTGAAATGGGTTGGGAGAGCTCCGATCCCAGGTCAGGTCCAGGTTTAGGAAGGGTACCGTTAGCGTGTTCTTGGAGGAGGGAGCGAAGGAGGGAGAGGTAGGGCAGGTATGAGGCCAGAGGGGGTAAGGAGTCTATAGACGGAGTAGGAAGGAGGAAGGGTCTTCCGTATAGAAGTTCAAAAGGACTGAGGTGAGAGGGTCCCCGAGGCGCGGCTGGAAGACGGGTAAGGGCCAGGGGTAGCAGGTCAGGCCAGGACTGTTGGAGTTCCAGGCTGAGTTTGGTTAGATGTTCCTTGATGAGGCTGTTGGCCCGCTCAACCTTACCCGAGGACTGGGGGTGATAGGCCGCATGTAGTTTCCATTTGATGCCAAGAGAGACCGAGACCGCTTCAGTGACCTTGGAGATGAAAGCTGGCCCGTTGTCTGATTGTATGGAGTTTGGCAGCCCAAAGCGAGGGATCATGTCTTTCAGTACGTGAGTGGCTACGGTTTCTGCAGTCTCTGAGGCGGTTGGGAGGGCCTCGATCCAACCTGAAAAAGTATCAACCATTGTTAAAAGATATTTTAGTTGTTTGTGTTTAGGCATATGAGTGAAGTCTATCTGCCAGTCTTGTCCTGGCAGGTGACCCCGCATTTGGTGTAGGGGCCTACGCACATGGCAAGCTCCTTGGCTGTTGGACCTGGAACAGACAGAACATGAGGCATGTGCAGCCTGGATAGCTGGCCGGAGTTTAGGGTTTGGCCCTGCGGGGGCTATGCATGGAGCCTCTGGAATGTGAATCGATAAGAGCAAGATGGGAGTTAATCTACAAGCTCGAGGCAGGCCGTTCAGGGTGGGAGGCAAGGCTGAGCAAGGAGACAATGGTCGAGCACTTTGCCTGGCGCCAGTCCCCAGGCTATGGGACACCTACCAGTCTCAATGTGGCTGCTGCTTTAATTTCCTAGTTGTAGGACTTCCATTCAGCTTGATTTTAGGCGGCCTTGAATGATGGTTGTTCTGTAGTTTAGTTGTAACTTAGATGTGGTTGTGGGAGGACGCGATACCGCATTTATCTATGCTGCCATCTTGACTGGAAGTCTTTATTGATTTTTCTAGAGGGAGAGAGAGATAGAAACATTCATGAGAGAGAACATAAATGGGCTGCCTCCTGCATGCCCCCTACTGGGGATCGGGCCCACAATCTGGGCATGTGTCCTGACTGGGAATTGAACTGGTGACCTCTTGGTTCATGGGTCAATGCTCAACCACTGAGCCACACCGGCTGGGTAATTTATGTTCATTTTTAAAGAAACTGCTGCCCTGGCTGGTTTGGCCTGCGGTCCAGAGAGACCTGGGTTCCCGCTAAGGGCGCGTACCTCAGTTGCGGTTTGTCCCTGGCCCTAGTCGGTCGTGCCAGTGGCACACTCGATGTGTCCCTTTCACGTCGATGTTTCTCTCTCCCTTTTTCTCTGCCTCTCTCTCCCTTCCAATCTATAAGAAGGAAAAAATGGAAAAATGTCCTCAGGTGAGGATAAAAAAAAATTAAAGAAAAAAAAAAAAGAAACTGCCAAGTTATATTCTAAAGTGGCTGAACCATTTCACATTTGTACCAGCAGTGTATGAAGATTTTAGTTTATCACATCCTTGCCAACACTTGTTTTCTGAGTTTTTGATCTATCCATTCTATTGAGCTGGAAGCGATGTGTCATCATGATTTTGATTTGTTTTTTCCTAATGCGTAATGTTGTTGAACATCTTTGCATGTGCTTTTTAGCCCATTTGTATGTCTTCACTGGTGAAAAGCCTGTTCGAGTCTTTGGTTTTTAAAAAAAAATTTTTTTTGTTATTGAGCTTTAAGAGTTCTTAAATATTCTGGGTCAGGTCATTTATTTGATATGTAGTTTACAAATATTTTCTCCTATTTGCTAGCTTGGATTTTTATTTTCTTAATATCTTTTGCAGTGGAAAAGGTTTTAATTTTTATAAAGTCAATTGTTTTTCTTTATGGATTATGCCTTTGGTTTCATATCTAAGAAATCTTTGCCGCACTTAAAGCCATGGTTTTTCCCCCATTTGCTGCTAGAAGTTTTAAAATTTTAGTTCTTACATTTAGATCTGTGCTCCATTGTAAGTTACTTTTTATGTATGTTGTGAGGTAAGGATCTATATTCATCTTTTTTTGTATGTAGATATCCAGTTGTTTCAGCATCATTTGTTCATGAGACTATCCTTTCTCCATTGAATTGTCTTGACACCTTTGTTGAAAATTAATTGATCATGTGTGTATGAGTTTATTTCTAGAGTTTCAATTCTGGTATGTTGTTTTGTATGTTTTTTAAAAAAAATTTTTCTTTATTGATTTTAGAGAGAGAGGAAGGGAGAGGGAGATAGAAATATTGATGCAAGAGAACATTGACTGGCCACCTCCTACATGCCCCCCACTGGGAATTTGGTCCACAACCTGGGCATGTGCCCTGACCAGGAATCAAACCAGTGACCTCTTGGTATATGGGTTGATGCTCAACCACTGAGCCATACTGGCCAGGCTGTTATTTGTTGTTGTTGTTATTGTTAATCCTCACCCAAGGATATTTTTCTATTGATTTTTAGATAGAGAGGGAGTGAGGGGATTAGGGAGTGAAGGAGGGAGGGAGAGAGAGAGAGAGAAAGAGAGAGAGAGAGACAGATATCCATGTGAGAGAAACACATAGATTGGTTACTTCCCATATGATCCTGACTGGGGGCGGGATTGTACCTGCAACCCAGGTTTGTGCCCTTGACCGGGAATCAAACCCGTGACCCTTTGGTTCAAGGGCTGATGCCCTAACTGCTGAGCCAAACTGGCCAGGGCCACACTGTTTTGATTACTATGGCTTTATAGTAAGTTTCGATAAAAATTGGAGTACCAATTTCCTTGAGACAAATCACTTTCTTGATATGTAAAACAGTCATTTTCAATTTCCTGAGATGATTTTTTAAGTCTGTATCTGAACATTTTTTTTATAATGCTATTTGATTTTTCAGGTTTAGCCAGTCTCTTCTCCACTTGGGCAGAATACTGCAGGTGATCATTATTTTTCCTTTTCATTCATGCTTGCCTCCCTTTTCTGTCCTCACTGTGTATAGTGATATAATCTTGATTAGATTAGTTATTCAGTGTATCTTCCCAGTTGAACCATGTAGCAGTATTTAGTATTAATATTTTTTCTCTTTTGTACATTTTGCTTTTCTTGAAATTAATGATTGTCTCATTTATCATTTAGTTTGCTTAATTTCTATAAATTTATCATAAATTCAACTTCATGCTTCAACCAAGTTGTATAAATCTCTATTTTCAGATAGTTGAAGTATTCTGTTGTTTTCTGTTATCTTCTTTTCAAAAAAATTCATTTTCTAGAGAGAGAGGAAGGGAGAGAGATAGAAACATTGATGTGAGGGACAAACATCCAGTGGCTGCATCTGGCATGCCCCCCCTGGGTATGGAGCCCCAAATCTGGGCATGTACACTGATCAGGATTTGAACCAAGACCTCTCAGTCCACAGGATGAAGATCAATCCACTGAGCCCCACCGGCCAGAAATCTTCTTTTTTTAATGTTTTTTAAAAAAATTCTTAGTTGAGGATATTTTTTTCCATTTATCTTTAGATAGAGTGAAGGGGAGGGAGGGAGGGAGGGAGAGAGAGAGAGAGAGGGAGAGAGAGAGAGAGGGAGAGAGAGAGAGAGAGAAATAAACATCGATGTGAGAGACATATCAACTGGTCGCCTCCTACACGACCCTGACCAGGAATGAACTGCAACTGAGGTATGTCCTCTTGGCCGGAATTGAACCTGTGACTCTTTGGTCCGTGGGCCAACACTCTAACCATTGAGCCAAACTGGCCAGGGCTTCTGTTATCTTCTTAAAGAAATCACTCCTGGAGGCTATGGCCAGTACAGCTGGGACAGATTGCCCTTTAAGTACTTTGCTGCATAATTGTCATTTGGTGTTTTTTTTCCTCACTGCCCTGGAAATCCCTTTGCTGTTTTCTTGTGAATACTTTAATTTTGGGATCCCATGTCTTTCTTTTTCTCAGTTTAGGTCCTTATTAAATGAATCAAATCTTCCATTAGCCTCTTGAGAAAGTTAATGGGACATAAATATTTTGAAGCCTTGCAAATCTGAAATGTTTTTTTCTCATATGCTTGCCTTTGAATGGTAACTTGTTGGGCATTAAATTCTAAGTTGGACATTATTTTCACCTGGAATTGTTTCAGGCATCTGGGAGACCCCCCCCTTTATTTATTTATTTTTTCATATCTCAGTTTGTGCTTTTGATTTCCACATGATGTTATTTTCTCTTCTATTTTTCTGCGGATATTAATATTAGGTTTCTCTCTTTTATTCTTTAAAATTATCTTTTCCCTGCTTAATCTCTGTGGGCTTCTTGTGCCTCCCCCCCCCCCCCCCCCCGCCGAATTTGGTCTGTATCTTTTTTTTTTTTTTAACACATTTTTTTTTCTTTATTGATTTTAGAGAGTGAGGAAGGGAGAGGGAAAGATAGAAACATTGATGAGAGAGAACATCAACTGGCTGCCTCCTGCATGCCCCCCACTGGGGATCAGGCCCACAACCTGGGCATGTGCCATGACTGGGAATCAAACTGGCGACCTCTTGGTGCATGGGTTGATAGTCAGTCACTGACCCACACCAGCTGGGTGGTCTGTATCTTTCATATTAGGTGCTTCCAAACTTCTGGTGATCCTTGCTGTCCATATTCAAAAGTAGAGTCTAAAAAGATGATTTTAAGCTCATTGTGTGAGGCTTTGTGTTTGTGGCATTTTCTGTTTTACTGGAAAACTTCTGGTGTCAGCATCTTTAGGTCTTTTTCATCATGCTGGTAGATTCTCCAGGGAAGACCCTTCCAATTTCTTCTTGGCTGCCATTGTTCTGGCAGAAAAGAAGTATTAGAAGGCCAAGGCTCTCATTTATTATATGAATTTTACTTGAGCCTCTTGTTTTTAGTATGGATGCCTTACCCCATTTGTATCTGATGTCTCCAATCTACAGACTTTCTATTTTATCCTGCCCAGGAAGTAAACCCCTGGTATTCTGCCAGAGCGGGAAGAGATTGATACTAAATTGTGTGGTGTATAGGGTAGAAGATTTGAGGATCTCATTATTAATTTGTTAGTTTTTCAACCAATTCTGTTTTCTGCTCTACTTTTTTTAAATTTAAATTTTAATTTTTACTTTTACTTTTTTGATGTGTAAAAGTACCCTATTGTATTCTTTCTTTCTTTATTTTTATTTTATTTGTAATGTTATTTTTGTTAACAGATGTTTCTCCTTTTTTACCCCATTGACACCCTCCTCCCCATCCCCCCCGTCCTGTCCCCAGCTTGGTTGTCCATGTCCATTGGTTATGCGTACATGCATATAAGTTCTGTGGTTTATCTCTTCCCTCTCCCACTACCTCCTCTTCTGAGGATTGTCAATCTGTACCCTACTTCCATGTTTCTGGGTCTACCCTATTCCTCAGACTGTTATGTTCATTATATTCCACAGATAAGTGAGATCATGTGGTATTTGTCTTTTTCTGCTTGGCTTGTTTCATTTAGGATAATACTTTCCAGGTCCCTCTCCATGTCGTCTCAAAGGATAAGAGATCTTTCTTTCTTACAGCTGCATAGTACTCCATTGTGCATATGTACCACAGCTTTTTTATCCATTCATCTACTGATGGACACTTGGGCTGTTTCCAGATCTTAGCTATTGTAAATAGTGCTGCTATGAACATGGGGGTACATATATTCTTTCTGATTGGTGTTTCAGGCTTCTTAGAGTATATTCTTAGAGTATATTCCTAGAAGTGGGATCACTGGGTCAAATGGTAGTTCAATTTTTAATTTTTTAATTTATTGTTTTCCATAGTGGCTGCACCAGTCTGCATTCCCACCAGCAGTGCACTAGAGTCCCCTTTTCTCCACACCTTCTCCAACACTTGTTGTTTGATGGTTTGTTGATGGCGGCCATTCTGACAGGTGTGAGGTGATACCTCATTGTTGTTTTAATTTGCATCTCTCTCTTGATTAGTGTGTTGAGCATTTCTTCATATGTGTCTTGGCCATTTGTATGTCCTGTTTGGAGAGGTGTCTATTTAGCTCCTCTGCCCATTTTTTAATTGGGTTCTTTGTCTTCCTTTTGTTGAATTGTATGAGTACTCTATATATTTTGGAATTAACCCCTTATCTGATGTATCATTGGCAGTAATGTTCTCCCATACAGTGGGTTGCCTTTCCATTTTGATGGCTGTTTCTTTTGCTGTGCAGAAGCTTTTTAGTTTGATGTAGTTCCATGTGTTCATTTTTTTCCCCTTTGTTTCTGTTGCCTTAGGTGATGTATCAGTGAAAATTCTGCTGTGTATGATGTCCGAAATTTTGTTGCCTACATTTTCTTCTAGAATTTTTATGAATTCGCCGGACACATTTAAGTCTTTTATCGATTTTGAGTTTATTTTTGTGTATGGTGTAAGTTGATGGTCTAGTTTCATTGTTTTGCATGTAGCTGTCCAATTTTCCCAACACCATTTATTAAAGAGGCTGTCTTACTCCATTGTATGCTCTTGCCTCCTTTGTCAAATATTAATTGTCTGCTCGACTTTTTTACCTCCATTTTCAAAGGTGTTGACAATGAACTGAGCTTGTTTGGACCCTAGTGTAAGTCAGGTTGCTTTCCCCACTGTTGACTTTGAATTTAACTCTTACATGAATCATTTACCACTTGTCCACCTGCTTTCCAGCTTCTAATATTTTCTTGCTATTTGCTCATCTTCTGTGCTGTTTGTTCTTGTGAGTTTATACCTCTAAATTCTCTTTGCTGTTATTTTATTTTAATTTTGGGGAGAGGGGTCTTTAGTGTGCCCTTTTAAATCAGGAATCTGTATTCTCTTATTTATACTTTTTCTTTTCCTAATATGTATTACATTTGCAATACATAAAATATTTTATTTAAAAATGTAAAAAAGAAAGAACTTAGTCTCTTGCAAAACTGCCCAGCTTCTGATAGGACCAGTCTTTAAGTACCAATCTTTAACAATGTGGTGATTTTCCAATGGATAGTGGTTTGTTTCTAGTCATATACTGTTTTGCATTTCTACTTAGCTTTTGCAATTCACATCTTTTATTAGATTGTAAATTTTTGAGGGGGCAAAGACCATATCATATTCTCTGTGTCTTTTGAAAAATAAGTTATCAGAAATACCAGAAGTGCTGGAAATATACTTATGGAGAATTGTATTTTATTATGATCTCATTTTATAGGTTGAAGAATGCCTCATCTGATGTAATACAAATGCTTAAAAGTGAAACAGAATTGGATATTACTGCCGATCTCAGAAAGAAACTCCATCGGGCTAAGAAAGAAAAGTTAGAAATAACAACTAAGCACAATGCTGAGGTAGAATTTATTTTCCTCTCCAATAATGTTAAAAACAGAGTGATTAGATTCATTTAGCCCTGGCCCAGTGGTTCAATGGGTTGGAGTGTCATTCCTCACACCAAAAAGATTGCACGTTCGATTTCCAGTCAGGGCACATACCTATGTTGCAGGTTTGTTTTCTCATTGGGGCGTGTACAGGAGGCAACTGATTGACGTTTCTCTCACATTGATGTTTCTCTGTCTCTCTTAAATCAATCAATAAAAAAATATCCTCAGATGAGGACTAAAAAAAAATTAGATTCATTTCATATTACAAATTCCATGTTTAACATTTATCACCATAATATTCGTATACTTACAAGGAAATTGTAAAGAAAATTGATTTTTTTATATATATAGTAAAATTGCATAGGAGTGTTCAAGTAGAAAAAATTTTAAAATATATGTTTTTATTGATTTTTTTTAGAGAGAGAGGAAGGAAGAGAGAGATAGAAACAGTAATTTGAGAATCATCGATCGGCTGCCTACTGCACGACCCCACTGGGGATTGAGCATACAGCCCAGACTTGTGGCCTGATCAGGAATCGAACTGGTGCTCTCTTGGTGCATGGGATGATGCTTAATCTACTGAGCCTCACCGGCTGGGGAAAGTGGAAATTTAATGAGTTACTATGTCTATTTGTATGTTGTCTTAAATTTATTTATTTATTTTTATTCCTCACCTGAGGATACTTTTCTATTTATCATCAGATAGAGTGGGAGGGAGGGAGAGACAGAGAGACAGAGAGAAAAATCCATGTGATAGAGCCACATCGACTGGTTGCTTCCTGCATGACCCGACCAGGGCTAATGATGAACTGCAACTGAGGTACGTGCCCTTGATCAGAATCGAACCCATGAATCATTGGTCTGTGGGCCGACACTCTAACTGCTGAGCAAACTGGCTAAAGCTCAAAGGTAAACTTGATCAAAAATATTGATGAATGCATTTGGTGACTAAAAGATTTGTAAATTATACATTTTTGAAATTTTAATGTACGTTTCTTTTGGTCTCAGTCATGCAACAATCTCATAAACAAGGAGATTTGATTATGAAGTTTTTAATCTCTGTAATTCATAAAGTATTTAATTTTTTTTTCTTTATTGATTTTAGAGAGAGAGGAAGGGAGAGGGAGAGAGAGAAACATCAATGAGCGAGAACATCGATTGGCCGCCTCCTGCATGCCCCTGACTGGGGATCAGGCCCACAACCTGGGCATGTGCCCTGACCGGGCATCATACTGGCGACCTCTTGGTGCATAGATCGATGCTCAACCACTGAGCCACACCAGCTGGGCAAGTATTTAATTTTCTATATTACTCTGTCTTATTTTATTTGTGTGTGTGTGTGTGTGTGTGTGTGTATCTATTTATCTATATATCTATATATCTATTTTTCTGTGTATCTATGTATCTATATATGTACATCTACATCTACATCTACATCTACATCTACATCATATGTATATGCATATATTCCAAGGACAGTAAGTAGTGTCTTTTCCTATAAGTTAAGTCATGAATTATATGTTTATGTTTCTTCTGTCTGTTGTGTTTTCTTGTTTTCTACTTTTTCTCTTTTTTTTTTTTTTGCTTATTGAAAGGTTTTATTTTTAATTTTTATTTAAAAGTTTTTTTTCTTTTTTATTGATTTGAGAAAGAGAGAGGAAGGGAGAGGGAGAGAGAGAGAGAAACATTGATGAAAGAGAACATCAGATGGCTGCCTCCTGCATGACCCCCACCGGGGATTTGGCCCAGACCCTGGGCATGTATCCTGATCAGGAATTGAACTGGTAACCTCCTGGTGTATGGATTGATGCTCAACTGCTGAGCCATACCTGCCGGACGTATTTTTTTTGTAAATTCATCTTTATTTATTGTTGAATGTATTACAGATGTCTCCCTTTTTTTCCCCCATTGACTGCCTCCTCCCCAATCCTGACCCCCTTCTACCTTCCCCATACTATTGTCGGTGTCCATTGGTTGTGCATATAAGCATAGAAGTTCTTTGGTTTATCTCATCCCTCCCTCCCTCCCCCCTTCCCTTTGAGGTTCATCAGTCTAACAACCAATTTGTTCTTAATTCCTTCATTTTTTTCACCCATCCTTCCAGCCCCACCCATCTGGCAAGTAACAAAAAGTTCTCTGTATCTATGAGTCTGTTTCTGTTCTGCTTGCTCATTTTGTTTGTAGATTCAATTGTTGATAGATATGTATTAATTGCCATTTTATTGTTAATATTTTTGTTCTTCTCCATCAAGAAGACCCTTCAACATTTCATATAGTACTGGTTTGGTGGTGATGAACTCCTTTAGCTTTTTCTTGTCTGGGAAACTCTTGATATGTCCATTGCTTCTAAATGATAGCTTTGTAGGATAGAATAATCTTGGTTGTAGGTCGTTGGTTTTCATCACCTTGAATATCTCTTGCCACTCCTTTCTGGCCTGCAAAGTTTCTTTTGAGAAATCAGCTGACAGTCTTATGGGAGCTCCTTTGTAGGTAATGAACTGCTTTTCTCTTGCTGCTTTTAAGATTCTCTGTTTGTTTTTAAACTTTTTCATTTTGATGATGATGTGTCTTGGTGTGGTCCTCTTTGGGTTCATCTTGTTTGGGACTCTCTGTGCTTCCTGGACTTGTATGTCTGTTTCCTTCACCAAGTTAGGGAAGTTTTCTGTCATTATTGTTTCAAATAGGTTTTCAATTTCTTGTTCTCTCTCTTTTCCTTCTGGCGCCCCTGTGTTGGTATGCTTCAAGTTGTCCCAGAGGCTTCTTACACTATCTTCATTTTTTTGGATTCTTTTTTTTTTTTTTTTTTTGCTGATCTGATTGGGTGTTTTCTGATTCCTTATATTTCAAATCAATGGTTTGCTTCTTGGCTTTACCTACTCTACTATTGATTCCCTGTAAATTAATCTTTATTTCAGTTAGTGCATCCTTCATTTCTTACTGGTCCTGTTTTATGTTGTTGATGTTCTCACTAAGTTCCTTGAATGTCTCGCCAAGTTCCTTGAGCAACCTTATTTGAACTCTGCATCTGATTAATTGCTTATCTCTTTTGTTTAATTCTTTTCCTGGAGTTTTGTTCTTTTCTTTCATTTGGGACATGTTGCTTTGTCTCCTCATTTTAGGTTCTTCCCTGTGTTTGTTTCTGTGTATTAAGTCCAGGCCTGGGGCCGCTGAGGTATGGGGCTTGCTGAGACCAGATGCTGCTTGTTTGAGAGATTTTAGGAAACTCTGAAGCAGGATCCAAGACAGGTCAATCCTATGGTAAAGCCTTTGGAAACAGCTAGGGTGGGCCCAAAAGGTGGGTGGGGCAGAACCTCAGGGAATCACCAGGGTGGGGCAACCGGTGTGAGCCAGATATCTGAAGTCTCACATATGGTGGCCGTCTGCTGCCCCAGGGAAGGGCTCACCAAAGCAACATCAGCCTCCGCCAGCCTCCTGGCCTCCACCAGCCTCTCTGTCCAGGAGAAAGCCGCCTACCTCTCCAGCCCTCGTCTTCGAGACCAAATAGCTCAGTTCTTCTCTGTATGTCTCTGGTGCCCCTTAGCTGCCTCCGCTCTGAGCCTAGAGGGAGCAAGTTTGAGTAAATCTGTGTGCAGGCCCTTTAAGAGGATCTACCTGGGACTCCTGCAGCAGCCGCCTCCCTCTGCCTCAGTTCCTGATGGCTTTTCTAGCCCCAAGTTATGGGGACTTCTCTTCCTGGCACTGGAACCCTGACCTGAGGACTCCTCAGGGAGGACCTTCCCAGCCGAGATGTCTCTCCTGATTTTTATTCACCACACATTGGTGTGGGACCAGCCCGTCCGCACCTCCGCCCCTCCTACCAGTCTTCATGTGACTGCTTCTTTAATTTCGTAGTTGTAGGACTTCCATTCAGCTCAATTTCAGGAGGTTCTGAATAATGGTTGTGCTGTAGTTTAGTTGTAATTTTGATGTGGTTGTGGGAAGGAGGTGAGTACTGTGTTTGCTTACGCCACCATCTTGACCAGAAGTCTACTTTTTCTCTTTTTAAACCTTATTCTTAAGGATTTAGGCAGGCTGGTGTAGTGGAAAGAATATTGAGTTTCACAGATTCTTGGCCTTTCCATTTATAAGATATGTGACCTTGGGTGAGTTAGTTATCTTGGACATCATTTGTTTTTCATTGTGAGATGCTGGTTCCAAAAGGTTGTTGTAATAATTAAGTGGATTTTATAAAGTGGCTGTGCACTGAAATAGTAGCTATAATTTATTGACACTTAAGTATAAACAGTGTTTTTCTTCCCTTTTTACTAAATTCTGATGTTGTTCTGTCAGGAAGCCTTTTAAAGCCGCCCTAGGTGACACTGATTCCTCCTTTCTTTGCTGTTTTACAGTGTTGCTGTTACAGATATTTTAGAGTTTAAAAAATTTATTTCACGCTTACCTGCTCTTCCGTAGTCTGTGAGCTTCCCGAGAGCTGAAAGCAGTGGCCACGCTCTGCCTTGCCATCTCCGACATGGCTTAGACTCTCAGTGGCTGTGTTGAATAAATGTTTGAAAACTGATTTTTTTTCCGGGTATCTAAGGAACAGTGAGTGGTTTCTGATTAAAATAACAAGCAATGCATATATGGCTGTTTTGTTTGTATTTTTAGTAGCAAATGAGGTAATTTTAAAATGAGGTAATTGAAGCAGTTACTTTTATTTACTTATAACATTACATAGTGAGTATAAAGTTGGCTTTGTTAAATTTATGTGGATTGTTCATAATCTCCAAGACTTATTTTTTAAAACTAAATGTACATTAATGCATGATAATCATTTATTATTTATGTTGCATATATTCTTTCATGTATATTTGCAGTTGTCATCAGATTTCTCTTAGAACACACTATTTATTGTCTTTATTTAATCAAAATGTTTTGAAGTATGTGTTCACATTAAAGAGATGGGAAATTATTTCAGGGAAGAAAGAATTTTTTCAAAATAGGCAATTAGAATTGGTTCAACTTCAGTT